GGGGGGGGGGGGCGGCGGCGAGGAGGCAGCCTGAGCTGACCTACCTATGTTCTGACAGATCAATCTGGCGGCTGTTTTGAGTATAAAGAGGAGGGTGGCCAGGACAGAAGCAGGGACTCCAATCAAGGGGCTACTGTTACTAATCCAGGCGAGCAGTAACAGGGGCCTGGACCAGGATGGAGTCCATGGGGGAAGGTGAAGTATCAGAACCACAGGAACGCGCCACTTCTGTAGGCTGGGAACAGCCGAATGTAGCAGTTTCATATGGCCTGCCCTAACAGTTGGCTTCTGGATAGATCTGGATAATAGGGTATGTTCTTCCCATTAAACAGAGGCAGAAAAAGAAACAGGGGAAAGGTGTGTGGCAGGGGGCCTCACAGATAGCTTGGCACGGCCTGGTGTGGTGGAAGACAGGAAATTCGTTTGAGATTCAGCAAGAACTGGGTTCAAGTCCTCGCATGGACATCTATTAGCTGAACGAGGCCAGCTGGGTTAGTAGGCCTTTCTGACTCTTGACTGCCAACTTTAAAAAATGGGGATGATGAAAAGCAGCCCCCTCTGCCCCACAGACTGTAACCAGGCCTTTGGGTGCAGGTGATTCTCTTGACAAGCCCATGAGAGAGGTATTGTCAGATTAATGGCTAAGGCAGGGTCCGGCCTACAGCAGGTGGTCAACCAAATGACAGTTCTCTTGCTTTTTTCTTAAAAGAGGAGTCAGAAATCGCGCTAAACCTCTAGTGCTATCAGTGGAACCAAGCAGAGACAAGGGAAAAAAGAAAATGAGGGGCAGGTGCCGATTCCGTCCTCACCAACACCCAGGAAGCCAAGAGCACTCTTATCCCGTAGCTGTTACACAGGTGAGGAATCTGGGCACACGGCCGAAGTCACCTGTCCACCATCACAGCCACCAAGTGCTAATGCATCATACCCAGGCTGTCTGCTCCAGAGCCAATACTCCAGAAGCCCTCAATGATGAGACACAGGAGGAGGAAGAGGAGCATATGGTAGGACACACCTGCTCTGGTTTATTGCTCCACATTTTAACAGGCGTTCCCAGCAGCCAACCGGGCAATTAGCAGCCATAAACGAACAGGCTGGAGAGGAGGAAGACCTGAGTGGGGTGGGGCAGCTTCAGCTGAAAAACCACACTCTTCCTAGGAAATCCTTTCTGGGCATGGCTGCCATCTACCAACCCCTAGGGTCAGGACCACCCTCCCCCCGCCCCCCATTCATCAGTGACTTTGGCACAAGCCTCTACTCCACTCCCAGGCTGAGTCCAAAAACGACCCACATCAACCTCAATGATCCTATCACTGGTCAACTCACCCAGAGACCCCAAAAGTCCCTGCAAATCTTCAACTCTCCCCACACATCTGACCTGCCACACACACCCCTGCCTCCTATGCAAACCAAGGCTGCCCCCAACTCGTGCAACTTCTCCTCCAAGGCCCTCTTCCCCCACTCCAAGCCAGCCTGGTGAGGCTGGTCACACTCTGAATCTTGTCCCTATATGGAATGGTGGACTTCCAGCTCCTTCCTGACCCATGCCCTCAGTCTTCTTTCCTTCCAGCTGACCAGCAGGGCCCTTCTTTGGCCTGTCAGATCTTGACAAGGCCAGCATTAGCTTTCCCCTTTCTTCAGTTCCCAGGATGGGTGCCA